GGTGTTATTGAAGAATTCGTGTCCGCATAAAAACACTAGGCTGCAGACTAAGGAGGACCAAGCATCATGTAGCGTGGAGAAGTTGAGAATGTAAACCGGAATGAGAAGAGGGGCAGAAAAGTGATCCGGGTTTATTAAAAGTGAAATAAATTACTGCTGAGGGAGAAACTGCTAACAGAGCTGTCTGCTGTGGAGCTCAGTATGAGAGGGCACTTTCCCAGGACATTCCCAGGGGGACTAGGGAGTGTGGTCTCTGTTGCAGAGGCTGTAACATTTATCCCAGTGGGGTTTGATGGGGAATTTGGAACCTTATGGAAATCCACAGAGGAGAGGCTACTTAATGCTTGTTCACTGCCCACTATGTGGAATTCTCTTCTCACAGGTTTAGCACCTTCCTTTTTGAGTCCGATGAGAGACAACGACGGCCTCCCACCATAGAAACTGAACAACCAAGCTCACTTTCATTCACCCCTGACACCTAGGGCTGCTCAGCAAATCCAACATTCCCCCTGGCACTTTCGATCTCCCCGAGTGACTCCGAGCAGCAAGGATGCAAGGGTATTCTTTCCCAGGGCCACACAGTAGCCTTGTCCACAGCAGCACCCAAGTCAGGGCCATTGGTGGCCATGGCGAGTGTGCAGCAGTCCACTGCCCACATCACACAGTTGTAGGGCTGTGCTTCTGGCTGTGGTCATGGTGCCTGGAGGCTCTCTTTCTTACAATACCCCCTGAGCTTGAATTTTCATCATCCCCAGAGCCAGATTTTGCAGATTGGGTTCTTAGAGGAGCAGGAGCTGAGACAGAGTGAGGGGTGCAAGTTCCGTTGCAAAGGGCCACCGGTGAAAGTACTGGAGAGAAGCAGGACTGGGCACGGACAGGGAGCCATCACTGCAGACCTGACGGCATCTCTGCCAGCCTCGCCCGGAGCTCTGGAGCAAGCATCTTCCATTAGAGGAGTCCTCCCTCCGGCAGAAAGCACCACAGCCTTAGCCTGTCCCTGGCTGGGGGTCCCCAGCTTGAGCACCATGGTAGTGCCTGAGAAGCCCTCAGCTGGGGCTCCTTGAAGGGGGTCTGAGCTGTACCTGTCCCAGTCAGACCCTAGTGCCACCCTTATACTGCGGGATGCGTGTCTCCGCACACATTGGGGGTACAGCTCCTCCGGGGGGTGCTCTTCCTGCTGGAGACCACAGAAGATGGGGGTAAGTGGGGCAAACTTCGGCACCAGCCCCTGCAGCTGTCGCTCCTCCTCCTCACCCTGCTGGTCACTCCATTCCATAGCCTCCTTGTCCTCGGCTGCCATCAGGGCTATGCTCTGTGGCTTACCTGGGGGTGAGACCCAGACCCTCCTTCTGAGGGGTCACCACACCCTGCTTGGGCCCTGAGCGGACAGGGCAGCTGCACCCGTCCGTTCACGGGCGCACGGGAAAGATGCCGAGAAACTCTGTGCCTCTCCTCTGGTCATCTTCCCTGCTGTCCCCTGGCTCTGCCGGGCCTGTCCTTGCTGAGATCCTGTCTAAGTTTAGGAAAAATCTTCTCGGATTGGTTTTGCAGATCGGGTCCTTAAGAACCTGCCCTGGAATTCTCCTGATGTTTGTCCCCAGGCTGGCTCTGTAAAGCTGAAACATCATTTCCCACCAGCCTTGAAAACAACAGCCCTGCCGTGCATCAGTGCATCGGGGAAGAGAGTTGCTGGTCCCCTCTGTCGTCCCGCTAACAAAAACCAGGCACACCACACCCAGCAGCGTCCTCCCTCCCTCCCTCCCTCCACCTCCTCATCCTCAGGACAGCAGCCTGAAGGGGTGAGGAGAGAAGCTGGTCTGAGTGGCCTCAGGATGATTGTCTCTCTCAGTACTTGTTTCCACCGTGGTGCTTCATTTTATTTATTTCTGCTTCCTTTCTTTTTATCTAGGTTAAGAAGGTAGAGGTTTGCCCATTCAGTAAATATTTTTTAAAATAAGATTTTGATTTATTAATTACAGCTACTGTTTTCCCATCCTCAACCTCATAAATTTATTATTTTACCTTTACTATTATTACTTTTTTAGATGTCCCTTGGTTTACTCTATCCTTTTTTTTTTCCTGGCTTTTTTGATGTAAATTTTGATGTACTTATTTTTATTATTTTGTTTTTATTGACGTAAGTATTTCAGGGTACTCTCCTCTGATCTTCTGTATCCTTGTTTTTTGTTGTTCACGTGAACCATCTTACAATGATAGTGTATTAAATTCTATTGTTGGTGAGCTGCAATCTATGTCTCCTTGCATATCCTGTAGTTACTTCTTTTTTTTTAATTGAAGTGAACTAATATGATATTAGTTTCAGGTGCACAGCATAGTGAATGGACAACTCTGTACATTATGCAATGCTCACCATGATAAGCATAGTCACCATCTGTCATACAGTGTTACTAAAATGTTATTGACGATATTCCCTATGCTATCCTTTTCATCCCCATGATTTATTTATTTCATAACTGGAAGTTTGCACTTCTTAATCTCCTTCCTCTGTTTTGCCCATCCTCCACTCCCCTCCCCTCTGGCAACACCAGTTTGTTCTCTGTATTTATGAGTCTGTTTCCATTTTTTGTTTGTTTGTCCATTTGTTTTGCTGTAGTTACTTCTTTGTGAAGGAGAATGTTATATGTGTTATGTGGTGCTTACAACGCACATCGTTACGGTGAATTTTGGTTAATAACATTAAATGTGTCCTTCTGACAACTTGAGCAACAAAATAAAATGCAACCCAAAGTATAAAATGTCTGTAAGTCCACACTGATACAGTTAAATGAAAAAACAAGGAGGATAGACAAATCTCCCATACAGATTAATTCCAAATAATTGAGCTTCCTCCCCCTCAAGGAGTATCTTTTTAAAAATTTATTTATTTTTATTTAAATTCAATTAACATATAATGTATTCTTGGTTTCAGAGGTAGAGATCAATGATTCACCAGTCTTATATAATACCCTGTGCTCATTACATCACATGCCCCCCTTAATGTCCCTCACCCAATTGCCCCATCCCTCCAGCCCCCTCCCCTCCAGCAACCCTATTTGTTTCCTGTGATTAAGAGTCTCTAATGGTTTGTCTCCCTCTTTGATTTTGTCTTGTTTTATTTTTCCCTCCCTTCCCCTATGATCCTCTGTTTTGTTTCTTAAATTCCTCAGCATCAAGGAGTATCTTAAGTGTGGGATATGCACAGTGACTTTCTCCCTGAGAGAATAATATGGAAAGAGGGAGGGGGAAAAAGGAACTTTACAGTGTAGAAACCTGATGAACCCAACAGCCTAATGATCAGGTCAGCATCACCAATGATAGTCCATACCCTTGACATGATGTGATGAGAAGGCCACTCCCCCTTGGTGGTCTTCCTCCAAAAAACCCATAACCCCAGTCTAACCATGAGAAAAAACATCAGACCTACCCAACTGCCTAATCAGTGCGCCTCTAAACTGTCAAGGTCATCAAAATGGGGAAGGTCAGAGAAACTGTCACAGCCAAGAGGAGCCTAAAGACACCCAACGGCTAAATGTAACATGGTATCCTGGGTGGGAACATAAGGCAATAGGAATGAAGTTTGGACTTTAGTTTACACTAATGCATCAATATTGCTTCATTAATCATGACACCTGTACCAGAGGAATGTAGGGTATTTGTTAATACTGGGAGGAATGGTGTGCTAATCCACAGAATGCTGTGCTCTACTCAGTCTCCTTTCTGGGATTTTCACACTTAATGGAGACATCCTCTCTGGGAATGATTTTAGGTCAGTTCTAGGCTCTCCACTCATCTCTTCTTCTTGACACAGATATTTCTGGACCTCACTTTGCTCTCTGAAAAGGGTAGAGGCAAGAGTTCAAAAGATACCTCCTTGAAAATCAAGAGTCTTTTCAATAAAGGTAATTTGAAGTTTTTGCTGTTCCCTGACTTCTGACTATATTGATGTCAGGGGGCTTATGTGGTTTTCTTCTTGTTGTTGTTGAATTCTATAGTTGTGAAAGAATGTACTTGAAGATTTAAATTGATAAGGACAACGGCTACCCTGGAAGTCTGGTGAATTTTTTCTCCAGCTTTAGTGAGATGGGAGCATCCATTGACAGATGAATGGATGAAGAAAACGTGGTGTATTCAACCATATAAAGACAGGAGTTCCTGTATTTTTGACAGCATGGATGGACCTTGAGGGCATTAAGCTGAATGAAATCAGCCAGACAGAGAAAGGCAAATACTGTATGATTTCACTTAGGTGGAATCTAAAAATATCAACTCATAGAAACACAGAGTAAAATGGTGGTAGCCGGGGTGGTAACCGGAGGGTGGAGGAAATGGGCTGGTCAAAGGGCACAAACTCTCAGTTACAAGACCAACACATTCTGGGCATCTAACATGGAGCGTGGTGAACACAGTCAACAATGTTGTGTTGTATCCTTGAAAGTTGCATCAGAGAAGAGCCTTTATGTTCTCACCATAATAACAAAATGTTAATTATGTGAGGTGAAGGATTTGCTAACTACCCTTATCATGATAAACATTTTGCAATATATATGTGAATCACATGATTACATGTACACCTTAAATTACACCGTATCTCAATTTTATCACAATAAAGCTGGGGGAAAAAGTAAATTGAAGAGGTAAATGTTGATATCTTCCCCATGGGGCATTTTCCCTTTCAGAAGCACAGCATTTATTCAATCTTCGTGAACAGTTGTGTAGGTTTCTTTTTTAAAGTTCTGCCTACCTCTTGTTACGTTTATTTAAAGGAATGGTATGATTTTGTTGATATTATAAGTTGGATTTTATTCTATTTTATTTTATTTTTTTATTTAAATTTTACTTAGTTAACATACAGTGCAATATTGGTTTCTGGAGTAGAATTCAGTGATTCATCACTTACATACAACACCCAGTGCTCATCACAACAAGTGCCCTCCTTAATGCCCATCCCCCATCCAGCCCATCCCTTACCCACCGCCCTCCATCAACCCTCAGTTTGTTCTCTATCGTTAAGAGTCTCTTTACGATTTGTTTCTCTCTCTCCTTTCTCCCCCCTCCCATATAGTCATCTGTTTTCTTTCTTAAATTCCACATGTGAGTGAGATCATATGGTATTTGTCTTTTTCTGACTGATATAAGTGGGATTTAAAAATTTTTATTCTGATTATTTCTCATTCTAATAAAAATGGGATTTATCATGTACTAACTATGTGACTGTGGATGGTTACTGAACCTCTCGTGGCTTCAGTCTTTTAACAAAATTAAAGATATGAGATAATACCCATTTGAGAAGGTTCTTACGAGAAATAAATAAGACAGTACATATAATACAGTTAGTATAGGATCTGGAACAGAGAAGCAGTCAATACATAAACTAATCTTACTACCAGTGGTGTATCTTGTACTTGTCAGGCCAGAAGTTTGGGCATGGCTCTTGCCTACTTTCCAGGATGTCCTGCTATCACAGGTCCACTTCAGTGCAACCAGTCTCCTGGAGAATGAGAGGGAGCCCTGGCTTGCATGCCTCTCGAAGGGGCAAAGGACACAGTGCTCCCTGTTCTCTCACCCCAAGGCTCTGCCCCCCACTTCCGCTCACAGCGGGAACCCAACACAAAAAGGAGAGTTGCCTCAGGGCCAGAATGTCAGGGCTAGACTGTACTTCCCGAATAATTACATCCAACCCCCTCAAATTGAGTAGACAACTGAGGCTCAGGGAGGGAAAGACGTTCGTCTGAGGTCATCCAGCAAGTGGGGAGGCTCTGCACTAGAACACAGGTCCCCTGACTCCTAAGCCTGTGCAATTTCAACTCCATCCCAAATTCTCTTTCTGGGAGAGCTTCCTTGTTCAAGGGCAGTGAAGCAGGTGGGTCAACAGCAGAGCCCTGAGGTCGTCCGAGTTTGCCTAACACACACTCCACGGTCTGCACCATTCGAATCTGCCTGCCTCCACCCTGTGCATCTCCAGAGGACACGATTCACCACCCACACTAAAGGATCAAGGGCTTGGTGTGTCCTGGCTCCTCATTCACATCTTAAAATAGAAAGCCGGGGGAGGGTATGGCTTAACCCAAAGGAATTAATTGTTAATGGAGGCATCTCAGGCAGGAACAGGTGAAATGCTTCAAGAGCGGGGATTTCCCTGCTTCTTTCTGTGGCCTCTTGGGAGGATGTGGAGCCCTGGGGAACATGAAAAGGAAAGGCGGGAGGGAGCTAGAGGGTTAGCCACTAGGGTTGGTTGGTCCCGCAGGCAGGGCTGGCGATAGCCAGGTCAGGTTGCAGGGTTGATGGGAGAGGAAAGAAACAGCCTGCAGTTTGTGTCCTGCTTAGTTTATTTCCCTGGGCTTAGGCCAAAGGCAGAATTCCCTACTGAAATGCAGACTCCGGGTCTGGGGTCGATTAGTGGATTTCTAGTATTAAGCCCCAGGAATGGGCCCCTTGTTTCGGGCCCTGCTCTCCTTCACACCCACCGGGGAGAGGGAGTCCCAGCCCCCCACCCATCTCCCTGGGGCGCCCGGGAGCACAGGAGTCAGGAGAGCCAGAAGCAAACGAAGCAGAAAGTCGTCTTTTATTACAAAGTCAAGAAGGGAGGCAGCCAAGCCCAGACTTGGGCATCCTGAGCGGGAGGCGGAACGCCCAGGGAGGGGGAGGGCCATGCCACAGGGGCCAGAACCAGCAGCCCTGGGGACTTCCCAGGTGCAGCAAGGACAGGCTCCACCTGGCTGGGAGAGAAGAGAACCGAAGAGGTGACTCAGCCGCTCAAAGCACTCAGGGGCAGTGGGGGGCAGGGTCACATCCAGGTGGCAGCCCTCTCAGGATTCAGTCATGGGCTCTGAGACTCTTGGTCTCTCAGCCACCTCCCCGCAGCCTCTCTCTCAACCAGCCGGGGTCATTCCCCATTGCTCAGTCTTCTCTGTGCCCTCAGGGTCCCCTCCTCCTCCACCTGGTTCTCACCTCACTGGGGATCCAAGCAGGCCAGCCCACAAGTGCCCTTACAGCACTTCTTGGCCCCCGGGCACTCGGTGTCACTCAGACAGCGGTTCGGAGGGTTCAACATGGCGCACTGGATCAGAATGTGGGGGCAGAAGCCAGGCTTAGTGGACACGGGACCTTTGGCTTTGACTGGATCTTGACCTCTAACCGGATCTTGTCCTTTGACCGGAACACGACCTTTGCCAGTGCCTTGCCCTTTAGGAGGAATTATTGAAAGAACAAATGTCGCCACATGTAGCCCGTGTGTGCCTGCTTCACTATCTAGTCTTTCCTCCATGTCCAGCCCCTCCTCACTGCTGTGTTGTCCAAACCACGGCCTGAGGTGGGGCAGGGTCTTCTGGGCAACTGCTGTCTGTACCCCGGGAAGGCTGTGCCCCGGGCTTTGGGGAGAGGATCTATAGAACCACGGTTCCCTTAGGTGTCCATTTATCCCCCCACCCTCCATGACAAGTCCTTTCAGAAGGAGAGGCCAGACTGGGGTGACTCGCAGAGGTGAGAAGGACACATGGTGCTCTTGGGGGAGAGGGGAGTGCCTGAGACACACACCAGGAGATGCGAGCTCCTTCCCCGCTCTGGAGATTGTCTGGACAGTCTCCTCCCTCATAAAATGGGGGTCTTCAAACTACATGGCTTCTGAGGTCTCGCTGGTGTATAACCTTCTTTTAGAGGCTGATTACCCCGATGCCTTCAGGGGGCAGACAGGCAGGGGCCAGACCCCACACCCAGGCCCAGATTCCTGGGGCTCCTCACTTCACTGCACATTCTGCCCAGGTATCCACACCTGAGGCCACGACCACGTAACAACACTCCTTCCAGCAATAGTCCTGATATCTCAGTCCTGATGTGGAAAGCATGTTGATTCTACTGGACAACTTCCTGCTCTCTCTGGATGCAATGGAAGCGGCCACAGACCATCCATGGGCGCCTGGGTGGCTCAGTTGGTTAGTGTCTACCTTTGGCTCAGGTCATGACCCCAGAGTCCCAGGATCGAGTCCCGCATCAGGCTCTCCGCTCAGCGGGGAGTCTGCGCCTCCCTCTGCCCTTCCCCCATCATGTGCTCACTCGCTCTCTCACTCTCTCAAATAAATAAAAATTTTTAAAAGAAAGTGTGAGATCCAGCCCTGCCCACTGCCCCAGAGTGCTCCTTGGCAGGGCCCAAGCCAGCCTCACTCAGGGCACTTGTCTCCTCACCTCCAGTGACAGCGGCCTGTGCCGCCAGAATCCCCAGGATAAGGAACGCCACCAGGACCAAGAAGCTGCTGGGCCTCATGTTGTCTCAGCTGTGTGGCTATGAGCTGAAGCTGATCCATTTTATGCAGCCCAGTGTGGCCTGGAGCCAGGAGGGTGGGTCTGTGATTTTCTATGAGACAAGACCTACATTTCCTAATTCTGCCAGGAAGGATCCACCCCTATCTTGGAAGGGACCTTGGGGCTTTCCCCAAGGACTTTTCACAGAGATAAAGGGCAGACACTGTGTTACATCACCCCTGATAGCCCCGAGAGCATCTTCTGACAGAGACGCAGGGCTGGCTGTGGGCCCGGTGTTCCGATTTCAAAGCCATTACTCCCTGTTCCTGCAGGCCCACCCAGACCTACCCTAACCATTCACCCCTCCCAGCATCAAGTTGGGCTTTGCTTTCATGCCCTCCTGGCCCTGCGGAAAACTCTCGAAGGCAAATTTGCCTTGAAAATCTAATGACACATCACTACACGGGTCATCTCTGAGATGCACCACATAAGTAATCGGGAAGGTGGGATTCTAGATCTCACATAACAATGCTAATAAAAATAATGCTGGGTGAAAAATTCAAGTCTCAAGAGAAAATATTTTGAATTATAGGCTTGTGTATAAGGTTCAAAACTAAGAAACACTAGATTGTCTAGACATACTTATGTATGTGGTACAACTCATTTACGCAGGGGTGGATGAAAATGAGGAAGCTATTCACACAAAATCTAGGATAGTGATTAACTCTGGAAAGGAGGCAAGAAACATTCTGAATGGGTGGGAAGGACTCAGGTTGATTTAAGTTTTTGGTTCTTGGTAACGTTCTAGTACTTGGGTTGATTGGTGATTTCCCTTGGTGTGTGTGTGTGTGTGTGTGTGTGTATTTCCAAGGCTGTGGGGTAAATCATTTATGGATTACCTTTGCTTTCCATAAACCTGCAGTGCTGCTCTCTTGGGTGGTTTTCAGTCTTTCACTATTACAAACTATACCCCACGTGGCTTTTTGCATTAACTTGTAAGCTAGAGTCCCAGAAGTAGGTTTGCTGGTACAAAGATTAAATGCATTTGGAAATTTTTTCCAGTTTATTACAGTAAATTGACAAATGGATTATATATATATTTAATGTGTACAATATGACGTTTTACTATACATGCACATTATGAAAAGATGGCCACAATCAAGTTAATGAACATACCCATCAACTCATATAGTTACCATCTTTCAGATGCTTTTGAAATTTTTATACTCTTGTCTTATGTCCTTTGATGGGGGTTGTACCATTTTGTACCATACCAGTAGTAGATGAAATCACCTGTGTGCATCCAGGCTTTGGCACAGACAGTGTGTTTAATTTTTTTTTTTTTTTACCAATCTGATCGGTGAGAAATCATGCCTTGCTGATGTTTTTAGTTAGCATTTCTCTCATTTTTATTTTTGCATATTTTAGAAGCCACTTACATTTCTTTTTCTGAAAGCTTCTTTTCCTTTGCTCACTTTTTAATAGATTCGCCAGCCTTTTTTCTTCTTAATTTTTAAGCACTCTTTATATATTATGGATAAAGGTCCTTTGTGGTATGGTTTGCAAATAAAAAAATTTAATGTCATTCTAAGATCTGTTCAGAACAGCTCAGGGTGGTCTCCTTTCCTCATCTTATCTGACGTTACCTCCTAGTGTTTGGCTACAGTGCACAGAGTGAGAGCATGTTTTTAATATGGTTATATTAAACAAATCTGGCTATATTATATTAAGAAGACTGCACATCATATTAATACAGGTTCACTGAAGAGTTGATGGGGGGATAGAGGTTAAGAAGGTAAAAGGAGAAAAAAAGCAAATAAAAAGAAACAAAAAAGTATTGCTTCACCAAAAAAATTTATCATGTCTGGTGTGATCCTATTATATTTATAAATATATTAGAAAAAGAATGAATATCGCTAGATCTCTGTGCACTGAATCCTAGAAATATTAATGAAATCTTACCAGCAGGAAAACAAGTTAGGGGATAATATATGTGTTTGATAATACTTTAGTAGAAACACATAAAAGTGCTATAAATGCCTTTATTCATGTACAAAAGAGGAGAAAGATGTGAAGGAATACATACTACGCTGTTAATATTGCTTACATCATGGTGATGAGAATGGGAAAAAAACCAGATGAGTAGGTTTTCCTTCACACGTACTAGTTTCTAATTCTTTTACTTGTCACAACAAAAAGTCACTGTTCTGATCTGAAATATCAAAGAAAATTATAATTGGTAATTAGAAAAAAGAACTCAAGGAATCTTATGAATGAAGAAAACAGCATAATTGACAGTTATATCTAAATAAACAATGAGATACATGTAACCAGTAGTACCAGTGTTGAGAAGGTGTGCTTAAAATAGAAGTGTCATAATGTAAAAATGTAATAGTATGTGTCAGGTATGATTCAGATGCCGTCCAAATAAATCATTCTGGGTAGTTCAAGCAGAAAAAGAACCCAGCTATTGTATGAGTGCGTGTGATTGTAGGAACTTGAATCCCCTCTGCAGTTCTGGATGCGGAAAAGTCTGGGACAGATAGTCACTGGATTGTCAGCCGCTGTAGGGAGACTTGCTGGGAGCAATTGAAATTCACATTGATGAAGACACTGCACAGAGCATGCCACCATCCTGCTCCTGTTCACGCCCCTGATCCACCCCCTACTTACGCTCCCAAACATCAGCAAATATTCACCTCCCAGAAGGAGAAGTGCCCACCTTGAGCAGGTCTGAGAACAAGAAAGGTAGAGCACAAGTACTGGAAAGTGTAGAGAGAAAAGAAATAAGAAAATGCACCCAGGAGAAGGAGGAGGCATATTTAGGAGAGAGCTTATCATCTTGCAATGGCTGCAGCAATATCTCTTTGGCCATGGCTGATGGTAGGAGCCCTCCTGTCTCAGACGAGTTACTTAAGACTCAGGAGAAGTCCACGTATTTAAGGAACTGCCCATTATTGTAGCAAAGGAAGGAGGGAGCCCTTGAGCTAAGAAACTAAGAAACCCATTCTAACTTCCCACCCCTCCTACTCAGGTAAGATACTCTTTTCACTAGCTGATTCGTGAAAATCTACTGATTTCAAAATAAGAAAGAAATGTGGAAATCACATAAGCCACACAAAAATACTATTTTTTAAAAGCGGAAATGAGTAGCAAAGCTTAAGAACATTTAAAACAGGATTTTTAAAATCTTCAGTAAAATGTCACCACAAAACTAAAAAAAATGGATATTCCAAAACGAATGTCTAAAATTACTGAAGCAAATTGAAACTATGAAGAACCCCCATAAAGCAGAAATATAGAAATTCAAAGAAGAAATAGCAAGGTAACAGGAAGATGTGGAGTGAAATCTGACAGACCTCAGGGGAGAGATTGAAGACAAGGACAAAAACATTGCAGAAATAAAGACCAAGTAAGGACAAAAGGAAAGAAAATAAGAAAAGCAAAGAACCACAAACTAAAAATGAAAAATAGCTTTAAAATGATTTCACAGAAAGTCTTCAGTATAAAAAGTCACTAGAGACGCAACAGACATATAAATCAAGTTGCACAAAGAAGAAAACCAAAATACACACACACACACAAGAAGAAAACCAAAACAACAAAATAAAAGAATTATTTAAAACCCTAATCGAGGGGCGCCTGGATGGCTCAGTTGGTAAAGCGTCTGCCTTCGGCTCAACTGAGTGGGGAGCCCGCTTCTCCCTCTCCCTCTGCCTGCCGCTCTGCCTACTTGTGCTCTCTCTCTCTCTCTGTCAAATACATAAATAAAATCTTTAAAAAAAATAAAACCCTAATCAAGGAAAATATTTCTGAAATTAAAGCAGGCTCAAGTCTATGTATTGGAAGCTCACACTGTGGTAAACACAAGACGCATGCGAGTAAAACGCTTGGGCTGTAAAGATAGACACAGAAACCTCCAGGAAAGCAACTCCCCTCAAAAAACAAAAACAAAAACAAAATTGGAAAAAAAAATCAGATGGAATGATGGCCAGAAAACAGTAGAGCAAAACTTAAAGGCACTGAAGGAAAGAGTACACACTGAGGATTTTTTTTTGCACAATTACAAGAATATATTTCTGGACATGCAAGAACTCAAGGGATCTTGTTTCCAAGAGCTTTCCTGAGCAGTTTCTAAGGGACAAGATACACCCAACCTGGAAGATTTGTGGAAATTACTAAAATGACAATTGTTGAACACTGGGCATTTTAACTGTGGAACAAAGACTAAGACAAAGTAGTAGCAAATAGTATGTAAATATGCCTTGCTGTGAAAATGTAGAAATAGTAAAATTTCCATCAAATAGAAGGACGATAGTGAAGGAAGTTGGATAAAAGAGTAAGCTCGCTGATTGCTATATATGTAAGAGTTTCAAGTCAAAGGATATTTATTTTTTTTTTAAAGATTTTATTTATTTATTTGAGAGAGAGAGAATGAGAGAGAGAGAGCACATGAGAGGGGGAGGGTCAGAGGGAGAAGCAGACTCCCTGCCGAGCAGGGAGCCCGATGCGGGACTCGATCCCGGGACTCCAGGATCATGACCTGAGCCGAAGGCAGTCGCTTAACCAACTGAGCCACCCAGGCGCCCCTCAAAGGATATTTAAAACACAGTAAGCTTCAACAGAATTAACCACTTTTGTGCATCAAAGGACACTACCAGGATAGTGAGAAGACCAGCTGCAGAATGGGAGAAAAGATTTGCAAATCAGATATCTGATAAGGGCCTAGTATCCAGAATATATAAAGGACGTGTACAATTCAACAATAAAAAGATAAAACAACCCAGTTTTAAAATGGGCAAAGCACTTGAATAGACCTTTCTCTAAAGAAGATACACCAAAAAACGGTGAGCACACGAAAAGATACTCAACATCATTAGCCACTAGGAAAATGAAAGCCCAAATCACAAGATACCACTTTACACCCCTTAGTGTGACTATAAAATTTTTTATCTTAATGGAAATGGACAAGCTTTGGCGAGGAAATGGGGAAGTTGGAACCCTTGTACGTTGCTGGTGAGAATGTAAGATGGTGCAGCATGAACAATCCCAGAGGTTTGAGAGATAACCAAGAGCTTGGGCCTGGTTGACCAATGGGTTCATCTGCTACGTGAGACCCCCTCCGTGAGGACTGGGGGAGGTGGCTGTTTTCTCTAAGGCACAGAAACTAATACAAGGAGCCAGGGAAACTGAAGGCTCCACGCTGGCCTTTGGACATCTAGAAATGCATCTTCCACATCTGCAGGCAGCTCCCCGCTGGGCACACCGACTTTTACCCCAGCCTCCAGCTCTGCCTGTCCTGCAGGCTCACCAGATACATGCTGAGTCCCACTCTGCAGCCCCCTTCCCTCCTTTCTCTAGGGACTCCCAACCCCAGGGGGAGCCCCCGAAATAGCTGCACCCGCCACTTGGGAGGTCCCTGTTCTCCCCTGTTAGAGCCTGAGATTCGATCTCCACCGGCACTCCATCCCCCTGATTACACAGGAACCTCTTAGGGTGGTCTCTTTTGAGAAATACATGATGAGGTGACCCCTGTCTCTGACACCTTAGAGTCATTTAATAGAGTGAGCAGTAACTTGAGGGCAGGACAGACTTGGGGGTGAGGGGAGCCTAAAGCAGGGAAGAGGGTTCCTAGACAGATTTGGATGACCTCATGTCTCTGCTGTCTATGCACCAGTCACATGCTCTGCTCCACGGAAGCTCCAAGGAAGGCCAAAGCCCCAGGAGGAGCCACTTTGAGTGTGGTGGGAAACTATGTTTTAGCACATCAGTCCTACAAAATACCATGTATTCATTAAAAATGATGATATTGGAGAATACTTTAAGACACAGGAAAATGTCTACAGAATCATCTTAATTGAAAAAGCATTTATCAGTATACGTGTGTAGTTTGTAATCGGGGAAAAAAATAGCCCCATAAAAATCTCCTTCTACTCCAAAAGAAACATCAGATCATAGAATATAGGGCCCCTCTTTTCCTGAGAGCTTAGAAGACAGCATGAGGGATTCTAGGTAAACCCAGTGAAGAACTTCCTGGCTGTGAGGGTTGTCCTGGAATGGAATATCCTCTTCCTTTCTTAGGGTCAGACGAAGTAATACCTTGCTTCCAAGGCCCAGTAATTGATGGGGATCACCGGGAGGCAATGACAGAAATCCCACCTTAGTTAGGAATCAACCGTGGGTCCTTGAGCCAGTTCTCTCCCATCTCCGGCCTACTGTTTCCCCATCTTTCAAGAAGGAGGGTGGTGAGGATGGTCTTGACCTCCCGCAGTTCTGGTCAGGTACTATGGTTCAGTGGAGGTCTCTGTTTGGGGCCCCTTAAGACCCTGAACCCCCAGGGCCTCTTCCACCAAATGCAGGAGCCAAAAGATGTGAAATCTAAGGTGAGTCCCTGGCTGTGATGATTTTTTGCTCAGGATCTCTTCGGGCCAGGGAAGGGGTCCCAGAAGCCTTCTACATCTGCTGTGACCAGTCACCTCAGCCAAACAACCACCCTGACCACTGAGCCAGTCCCAGGCAGAGGGCAGTTCTACCAGAAGTCACTGGAGGTGATTCACCAGAGGCAGGGAGGTCTCTCTCTCTCTCCTAACCACAGAAGCCCAGGAGGAGAGGCCATAGCTGGCCTCCCTCACCGTGCCTAACTGGGCCCACTTTCTCCAGCAGGGAGCTCTTACCTTAACCCGAATTCCTCCTAGGCATCCAGAACTCTGCCACCCCCTTCTTGCCATTCAAAGCTGACTTCTGTCCCCTGCCGAAGCCGCTGGGGCTGCAAGACCCTAGAGAGCCAGGAGAGGGATCATCTGTCTCAACAACCCTCATTCTTTATACGGATGAGAACAACCAAGGCCCGAAGAGGGAGCAGACTTGCCCGAGATCACAGCCCGAGTCCAGCAGGCAGGACTGGATGCCAACCCCCAACACCAGCACCTGCTCCCACCCACCCATCTTCAGTTCTTGCACAAGCACACCAGCACTGAGGTTCGAGGGCAGGGGGCGGGACCGGGACGAGGCAAACAAGAGCCACTCGGTCCAGCTCATCTCCTTCCTCCCCTGACTCAGCTGCTCTAGCCTTCCTGGAGCTGCAGGGGTCAATTTAGGGGCCCCTGAGCCCTGCCTTAGTAAGTGCTGGTAGCAGAAACATGAGGGCCTGGAGCCTTCTCCTCCTGGTGGCCCTCCTGGCTTTGGGGAGCCAGCTGCCTGCTGCCTTGGCCAGGACGAAGGGAGGTGAGTGTGGATGGCTTCCTCTGCTCCAGGGACCAGATAGTTCCTACCTCTCTGGGGAGAGTGAGGGTTGGGAGGGCAGGCAATGCAGTGTGACGTCTGCATGTGTAGCTGTGGATGCCTGCTTCTGGGTGCTTCCAGCAGCTGGGGTTTGGTTTGCACCTCTCTGTGCCTGCCAGCCGGCCTTGTGGGCAGCTGTGGATGCCTTCGTGCCAGGGTCTCGGTGCTCGTCTTCCCGTGTGAGTGTGGGATTGTGTGTGCATGTGCGTACGTGTGCATCTTTGTGCCTGCTTGTCTGTACGAGTCTGTGTCTGCACATGTGTGTTTAGGTACGGCTGCACGTGTGTGTGTCCGTGGGGTCGTGCCTGTGTGCACACGTGTCTCTGGGGGACGGGGGAGCAAACCTGTCTGTACCTGCTCCTCCGTTGATGTCTCCGTGGATTATTAGGATCTGTGGGCCCGCCTGGCAGCGAGATGACCCTCTCCGTCATCTTCTGTTGCTACCGAGGCTGCGCCTGGTCTGGTCTCTGCCCATCTTGTTTCTGTCTTTCTCAGGTCCTTCTTGTGTGCCAGAGACCAACCTGTGCAAGGGACTCCCAAACTGGGTAGGGGGTGTGGTTTCTGGGATCTGTTGGGAAGAAGCTCCACCCCTACCCTCTTCCAAGCCTCCTGGAAAAGGCTGGGGCTGACCTGTCAACAGGCGGGGGAGGATGGGGCTGCTGCGAGGCTAGACAGGTGCCTCCCCACCTGGGCAAGGCCTCCACTTCCTGCCTTTCTGGGGCTGGGACACCGTGACCTACATACACCTGTGCATCCCTGGCCCTGCCTTGAGGGACGGGGACAGTAATGGGGACAGGTTCCCTCCCCTGCAGGTCCTGGGGAGCAGCTCCCTGCCACCTCTCTGCCCCCTCTAGCCTGACTTATGCCTTCCTCCGAGGTGGGGCTCTCTCTCCCTGGGGCGCGAGCTGGTTTGGGGAAGAGAGTGCTCAGGCCCAGGCTGAGGAGGGAAGGATGCTGGCAAGTTCCAAGGCCAGACCCCTGCTGGCTGTGATTCATGTGGCTCAGCTGTATTCCTCCTCGCTGAGATGCAGAGAGATTGAGACTATTTTCATCCCCATTTTGCAGGTGAGAAAACCGAGCCACTTGAAATGCCAGTTCTGAGTCTCTCTTCCTTTCTGTCTATTCAAGGCTCAGCTCCCGGCCCCTCATCCCAGCAGCTCTCCTGGCTGTGTGACCACCCCAGCCCACAGGGAGATCCCTGTTAGACTTCAGGCACCTCCTCTCAGCTCACGCCCTGAGGCCTGAGCACCCCTGGCCAGGGCTACCCCCCTGGACCTCAGAGCCTTCCCAGGGCCCCGCCTACCCCCAGCTGGGGGCAGGAGGGGCTCATCCCGTTAGGGGGCTCCCTCGCAGCTGCTCTTTCTCCAGCAGGGGGCAGCAATCCAGTTTAAGACAACCCAGTTGAACGAGTGAAGTGGGTTTTGAGCACTTCCTGTGTGAGCAAGGTGCCCCCTACGTGTGTGGCCAGCGTCCAGTTGGGAGCTGGAGGGGAAGGGAGATGCAAGGTACAGTCAGGGCGCTTGCTGCAGGCTGCTGGGGGCTCTTGAACCTTTTCTGAGACGCTGGACTAAAGTGACAGCCTGGGACCAGCCTTCATCCTCCCCAGGACTCAGTGGTGGCCGGAGCAGAGGGGTGGGAGGTCAGAGTCCTAGCTCAGGCCCCTGTGGGACTGGGCAATCACTACCCTTCCAATCCTTGACTTCCTCCTCTAAATGGAAGAAGATACTGAGTCAAGCCTTCTGCATGGAATCTGGAAATGGCCCAAAATCCTAACAAGAAAAATGGCTAGAGCAGCTCTGGGACAGAACATTCTAGAGCTGTCAGAGGACCACCTCAAAGGCGAGTTCATACAGATCCCGGACACAAGGCCACGTGCAACAGGACATGCACACAGTACACGTGTGGCTGACTGCGGCCGGCCGTGTGACAGTGCACCAGTCCGGCGACAGCTGACGATGCCGGGTCGCCCTTCAAAATCCTGTCTTTCAAAGAGTGGCTGAGCCGAGCCGCTGGTGGTTTTGCATCAAGGACTGTGCCTAATGGTGAGAGAAGCAGGCAAGGGGTCTATTCTCACAGCCTCCAGCCAAGGGAGAGAAGCAGACAAATAGATGCAGAGTCACAAACTCTGAAGGAAAGAGTGTGGGGTGAGTGGGGGAGGCTGACCTAGTTAGTCCGGGCTCAGAGAGGGAGGGTGTCCCCAGGATGCGAGGATGCAGTGTTTCCACTGAGATCTGATGAATGCGGTGGAGGAGAGAGCACCGGGCAAAGTGCCCAGCAAAAGCAAGGCCCCACGAAGAGAAGCAGCTGGGGAGCAGAGCAGGAGCCCCGAATGGAAAAGGTGTTGAGGATGAACACAGGGAGGTGGGCAGCCCCAGGCCAGGCACGGCCTGTTGGCCCAGGTGCAGATGTGGAACTTCATTTGTTGCCATCCTTCATGTCATCTGAGTCTCAAACCAGCCCCGGAGGGAGTCCAGCTTCCCATTCCACAGAGAGAAAACTGAGGCTTGCAGTCAAAACAAAAACAAAAACAAAAAACTTGCCAGCCATTTGCAACAATGTGGATGGACCTTGAAGATGTTACAGTGAGGGAGATAAATCAGCCAGGCAAAAACAAATACTGTACGATCTCAGGTTAGAATCAAGAAATCAAAACAAAACAAAAAACAAGCCCCTAGATACAGAGAAGAGATTAGTGTTCGCCAGGGGTCATGGGTGGGAGGTAGGGGAAATGGGTGAAGGGAGTCAAAGGTATGAACTTCCAATTATAAGAGAAATAAGTCGTGGGGATGTAATGGGCACCATGGTGGCTATAGGTAATAATACTATATTGCATATTTGAAAGTTGCTAAGAGAGAAAATCTTAAAAGTTCTCATCATAAGAAAAAAATGTCTAATTATGCATGGGGACAGATATTAGCTAGACTTGTTGTGGTGATCATTTCATTATACATAAAAATATCAAATCATTTTGTTGTACACCTGAAACTAATATGTTATGTCAATTATACCTCAATAAAAAATTTAAATAAAAACAAATAAAAGCAAGTCCACCCTCCCCCCCCAAAAAACAAAAACAAAAGAACTTGCCAAAGGACAGGCAAGAAATAAGGGGTAGAGAATTCGGATCTTGCAATTCCCAGATCGGTGCTCATTATATGACTTGGAACTGCCTCCAGCTGCAAGATTTGGGGATTTTCTTACAGAGAAACTTGGGGGCTGCCCACCGGACGATGGGCCCTGCCTCCTCTCGGTGCCGGACCACTGCTTGGATGACAGCCAGTGTCCTGCAAGGATGAAGTGCTGCTACAAAGCTTGCTTCCGCCAGTGTGTCCCTTTGATCTCCGGTGAGTGTCCCTCTTCACCTTGCTGAGCGCCCAAGCCCCGGGGCTGGGCACAGTCAGGGCTCACCAGGCCCCTGTGTTGCAGTAAAGCGGGGCAGGTGCCCTGAGGACCACCTGCACTGCCTCAGCCCCGTGCAGCATCTGTGCAACAGAGACTCAGACTGCAAGGGCTCCAATCGGTGCTGCCTCGGCGCCTGTGGCCGAGACTGTCGCAACCCCATCTAAGGTATGGTTCCTGCGCGCCTAGGGCAGGTTCTTTCCCTCTCTTAGCCCCAGCGTTAGACATCCTTCCAGGTCAATAAGCCTAACGGGACACCTACCTTCCCAGGAGCCTGGGGCTGCCCACGCCAGAGCTGGGGAAGGGGATGGGGCCGGAGGGTTCCTGTTGGGACTCGTTAGGACCAAGGAGGAACCAGAGATCCTCCATCTCTTGCTGATCTTGCAACTGCTCTGAGCTTCAGTTGGCCCTTGTGAAGGAGGGTGGGCCATCCTGCCTGAGTGGCCACCAGGGCTGGGCTGATGGGGTGGATGGATATCAAAGTTTCTAAAGACCCCAGAGTCCCGTGATGGGATGGTGTAACCCTTTCCTTCTCTCTCCCCAGGCTAATTCTGGTTTCGGATCCTCAGCATGGGGTCCCTAGCAAGAAGGGATGATGATAGGGGGCCTGGGACCCTGCCACCCAGATACCGCTATCTCTGCCAGTGGCAGTTCCAACCTTCTGATGAACACTGAGCTGCTGTCACCTCCCTTGCCTCCCATCCACCCCTGGTTTCTCCTCCTGGGAGTCAAGGTGCATAGATAGACTCCTATCACCCTGTGCCACCTCCCCATCTCTTCTGGTGTTTCCCCACTTAAAATGCCCAACACAGGTAGGCCCCTCTTTGTGGGGTCCAAACCCCTCCCTCAGGCAGCCCAGCCACCTTGAACGTACATTCTAGTAGAGTTTTCCAGACATTATCTGTTTGCATACCCCTTTCCACCATTTGTGCCACACCTGCAAAACAGCATCTCGATAACTTGCATACGGCCTATACTATTTATCTAATGTCTTTCTTTAAATGGACTCGCGGGCGCCTGGGTGGCTCAGTCGGTTAAGCGACTGCCTTCGGCTCAGGTTATGACCCTGGAGTCCCTGAATCGAGTCCCGCATCGGGCTCCCTGCTCGGCGGGGAGTCTGCTTCTCCCTCTCCCGCTCCCCCCTCTTGTGCTCTTTCTCTCTCTCACTCTCTCTCTCAAATAAATAAATGAAATCTTTAAAAAAAAAAGATTCTTATAAAAAAATAATAATAAATAAATAAATAAATGGACTCCCTTTTGTATATAAATAAATTTATTTCAAAAGACAACCTTGACATCATCACTATAAATGGAATACGCAGAATCACTTGCCACGAATACAATGTGATTGTAAGGGCGCCTGGGTGGCTCAGTTGGTTAAGCGACTGCCTTCGGCTCAGGTCATGATCCTGGAGTCCCGGGACCGAGTCCCGCATCGGGCTCCCTGCTTGGCAGGGGGTCTGCTTCTCCCTCTGACCCTCCCCCCTCTCATGTACTCGCTCTCTCTCTCATTCTCTCTCTCTAAATAAATAAATAAAATCTTAAAAAAAATGTGATTGTAAAAGCAAATGCAGTGAAAACAGCTAAGGTCCATTAAAGTAAATGTTGTCAGATGAAACGATATTAAATAATAGTATTAAATTCTACCTAGATGCTGCCACCTGCCAACACGGTGAGCCTGAAGGCTGCTCTCTGTCTCTGGTAATAAACGAAGATTAGCAAGGGTTAAAGACAAGTTAAAGACACAGATCTCAGAACTGTGACCTCTTTCTTGGAGTAATCAGAAGGACTGAGAAGAGAACTTTCTCAAGAGTCAGTGTTGTAAAATGCTGCATCCAGGTCCACCCTAAGATCATTTCAAATTGCTCCACATTTGGGGAATGTTGCTTGAACAGTTGGGATGTCATTATTTATGGGAGAGTCTATCTCACATTGGACGATACCTCATTCACCTGGATTTCTCAAGGGTCAGTCAATCTGTAGTCAGGGCCTAAGAGGGTGGAGAAGGAGGTCAATGAGGGAACGACAGCCATCCCAAGGGACATTCCTGGACCCAGAGGGCTGGATTCCTGACTGTCCCAGTCACCCAGAACTTGCTTTGGGGAGAGGCAGGAGGCGGCAGACTCCTCCCTGCTTTATCTGCTGGGTTTCCTCTTGTGTCCCAATGGAATGTGGGGCTGGGCAGGTTGAGTTGGGAATCCTGGGTCTTCTTTCCTTGTTTTTTTGACCTGGCAGTGTGGTCACAGGTGAGTCACCACTCCGGGATTTTGTTTGCCCTGTTGGAAGATGAAAAAAAATCCTACTTCCTCACTCATAGTCCTTCTCATGGGGTTCAAGTGCTGAACTCAAAATCAGCAAATGCTATTTATAGGGATACATGCCGAAGCCCAAGAGAGGAGGAGGAGGAGAATAATCTGAGTCACTGACTCCCTGTGAGCTTGGGTATTTCCTTTCCTTCTGCGCCTCAATTTCCCCATCTATAAACTCAAGTGGTCGACACAGATAATAGGGTACATTGTACTGTTTGCCCAAAGACACACCCCTTCCCTCCCCACCTTTACCATGGCTTCCCTGGGGGAGAGCACACATCCCCCGCCTAGGGATTTAAGGCTTTGCACTGGGACTGATGGGATGTGGCCCCAAGTGACAGTGCACCTGCCTTCTTGGAGCTTCCTCCCTCTGCCAGAAAAGTGCTTGCCCAGAAGCCACTGGTCTTGGGATGAAGGAGAGCTGAGGCAGGCCTGATGCTGAGCTGCCAATCCTTTAACTTGCAAGAGCAAAATAAATGTTTGTGATAGGAAGGCAGTGAGATGGGGGGGGGGGGGGGGGCGTTGTTCCCATTTTACAGATGAGGAAGATAAGAATTCAAGAGGAGACATCACGGGGCGCCTGGGTGGCTCAGTCGTTAAGCGTCTGCCTTCGGCTCAGGTCATGATCTCAGGGTCCTGGGATCGAGCCCCGCATCAGGCTCCCTGCTCCGCGGGAAGCCTGCTTCTCCCTCTCCCACTCTCCCTGCTTGTGTTCCCTCTCTCACTGTGCCTCTCTCTGTCAAATAAATAAATAAAATCTTTAAAAAAAAAAAAAAAAGAGGAGACACCACTTGGCTCCTGATCCCACCGCCATTTAGTGGTAAAGGCAGAACGCAAATCCAGTGTATTTGTTATCTATTACTGTATAGCAAATTACCACGCATGTAGCCACGTAGCGGCTTAAAACAACACCCATTTGTTATTTTGTAGTTTCTGTGGGTCAAGAATCCAGGCACAGCTTAGCTGGGTCCTCAGCTTCAGGGACTCACAAAGCTGAAATAAAGGTGTTCAACCAGGGCCGGGGTCTTAACTGAGTCCCAACAGCAGAAGGATCCACTTTTGAGTTCATATGGTTGTTGGCAGAATTCCAGTTCTGTGAGGGCTGTAGGACTGAATACCTCAGTTTCTAGTTCAGCGTTGGCCAGAAGTTAACCTCGGGTCCTTGCCTTACCAGAATGGCAACCTGCTTCATCAGAACCAGGAAAAGTCAATCTTATGTTACTCAATCCTGGAAGCAACATTCCCTTACCTTTGCTATACTCTGCTCATTAGAGGCAAATCAGGAAATCCTGCCCATGCTCAAGGGGGAAGGATTACACAAGGGCATGAATACCAGGAGGCGGACATCACTGGGACACATTCTAGAAGCTGCCTGCCACACATAGTCTACTTAATTACAAAAATTTCTATACTTTATGCAACATCAAGCTTTCTCTGTAGGGTAAACCCTCATGGATTCAGATGGCCAGTTCTGGCTGGGGACTGAAGGAGAATTTGGGGCACAGCCCATTCGTGGCACATAATGGGTATGGATACCCCCCTTTAGCCTCAGAGGTCCATAATGCCTCTCTTCCCATTCCTATCACTGGTGAATTAATCTAACACTCCATGTACTTCCCATGTGATCTGGGGATGAAACCAGATCCTAGTTTCCATCTCTTATGCCCTTGGGAAATAGGTTCGTCTTTTCTCTTTTTGAAGCTACTGCTTTAACTCCGAGGCGGAGGTACCCCCTACGTTTGGGGGGGCAGTGAAGGCTACAGAGAGAGTACGAGGCCAGGAAATGGGAGATCTGCTTCTCCAAAGATCTGCTTCAGTTTCTTTGTGGCTAAAACGAGGGAGTTAGGCAAGATGATTGCAAACTTCCTGCTCTAGCTTCTTTGAGGGAAGGACTGAAGTGGCACAGCCTAGAGCTACGCGTCCAATATGGGAGCCACTAGCCACATGAGGCTACTAAGCATGTGCAATGTGATTAATCCAAATGAGATTCACTGTACGTGGATATAGGCAGAATTCTAAGAGGATTCCCAGGGACCCTCTCCCCCTCCCCCGTATCATCTCCTCCTCTTTGAGTGTAAATGGAATGTGTGAAATGTGTTCCATGAGGAAAGACAGACTGTCCTGGGTGGGCCTGTCCTAAGCAGGTGAGTCCTTTAAGAGCAGAGCATTTTCTCTGGCTGGTTGCAGAAGAGGAAGTCAACACTCCAGGTTGCCTGAAAGAAAGCAAACATCCATGTTGTGAACTGCCCGTGGGCCACGTGGCAAGGAACTGCAGGCAGCCTGTAGAAGCTGAGAGTGATCCCCAGCAGAGAGCCAGCAGCAAAAGGTGACCTCAGTCCTGCAACGACAAGGAAATGAATTCCACCAACAATCTGTGAGCTTAGAAGTGAAACTTCAGATGAGAACCCCAGCCCTGGCTGACACCTTGACTTCAACGTGGTGAGACTCTGGGTAGAGAATTCAGCCATGCTGTGCTCAGATTTCTGACCTATAGGAACGGTGAGGTAATAAATATGTATTGTTTTAAGTTGCTAAGTTTGTGGTGATTTGAATATCCTGGATTTCCAAGACAGTACTAGATAAAAATGTAAAATACCTCCTTAGTAATGTCTTTATTGATCCCATGTTGAAATTATATTATTTTGAATATACTGGGTTAAATAAAATATATTATTTAAAAAATTAATTTCATCTGTTTCTTTTTATTTATTTTTTTAAATGTTATTGGAAAAATTTAAATCATATATGTGGCTCAAACTCTATCTAGTGGACAGTTCTGTTCTAGAGGTCTCAGATGTAAGCCATTTGACCTTTGAGTCACTCTCAAAGCCTTGCATTTCTTATCTTTGAGATTGGAATAATAATAGCGCCTATCCACAGAATATTGGCAGCATGAATGAGATGAGGCCTGTAGGATACTAGGCCCAAGGCAAGGTCTCAATAAATGTTGGTTATTTTTATTATTAATAATATCTGTGAAGTAGGAATCCTTTCTTGTATCCAGATCCTAGTCTCCAGCACCTTCTCTCCAGCCTGACACACAGCAGGCACTCAATAAATGCTTGTGGATTACACACCTTTTTTTTTTTTAAAGATTTTATTTTTAAGTAATCTCTACATCCAACATGGGGCTTGAACTCACAACCCTGAGATTGTATTCTCCCCCCCACCCCCCCACTGAGCCAGCCAGGCCCCCCTAGATTACATAACCTTGACAAAGCTCTTTGGTACAGTTCTCCCTTACCATCCCAACCCACTTGAGGCAGAAATCAGGGACCCATGGCCAGGTGGGGAGACAGAACTTCTAGGGGGCAAAATATCTGCTTCAAGCTGCACAGCCCAGGGGGCTCTTGGGGAATGAGGCCACCTCCTCCAACTCCCTGATGCAGATCCCCACCTGCAGACCTGGAAGACACGAGTTCCAATCCCAAGGCCACAACACCAAGCTAAGTGACCTGCGCAGGTGACTGAGCCTCATCTGTCCCTGTCAAGCTTCTGTCAGGAATAACTTGGATAAGTCCCCTGAGCAGAGTACCGGTACATACGAAGGACACAATTAAGGAAGGTATTATTACTGTCGTTGTTTGTCAGCGATGCTCCGGGCTGAAATCCCTCTCTCGCGGGGGGCCCCTTCCCCTAAATGACCCCTCCCCCCCTGGTCCCTGACTAGGGAGGATGTCCTGGCTCTTGCGCCCCGTCTTCAGACACCACCCCCACCCAATCGAGTCAGGAATAGAAATCACCGCCTCCGGCAGCCCGCGGTCTCCCTCCCTCCCCCGGCCGCGATCGATGTGGCCTCCGTTGCGGGGGAAAGAGGAAGACAGGGAAGTACGGGGCGGCGGGGCCTCCGGCAGCAGCGAGGCTCCGCGGGGCAGCAGGGGCAGAGACGAGCCCGGCCGGTCCGCGGCTCCCCGGCCTCAGCGGCTTCGACTTTGGGGACAGACGCGCCTGGCGGTGCGCCCTGGAGGGGGCTTGGCAGGTAAGGAATCTCCCTCGGGGAGGAGCGTGGCCCGGGAAGGGGCGGAGGCTGCAGAGTGGGGAGGGGGGCTGCCGGGGTTCTGGTCCCGCGCCCCCTTCGTGAGACCACCCCTCCCACACCCAGGAGGGAGCACTGTGGGGTGGCCAAGCTCTGGGGTCTGTCCTGTTGGTTCATCCGTAAAATGGGATTAGAAAGCCTCCCCGGCAGGGTTGGTGTAGGCATTAAACCAAGGGAAATGTATATGCAGCCCTGCAAAGTGACCAGCACATAGTAGGTGCTCAAAATAAGTGTGTAGAGAGAGCCTTGAATGGAAAAGCCTAGTTTCCAAACTTAACTGTGCCGTGGACTAGCTGGGCAATGTTGAGCAAGTCATTGAAGCTTTCTTACTGATACTCAGATCCTTGTTGGGGAAGGTTTCCTGAATTAATTATCCCGATTAATAGAGCAGGAGGGTGAGTTCCAGAAAGAGAAAAGGATTTACCCACAGTCATGCAGCTAGTGGGTGATGCAACTGGGTTGGATGCTTCATCTCTTGACACCAAGTGCAGTGGAGGAGGTGGGAGTGGAGCTGCATTCCGCCGGAGTCCCAGGTGTTTACTGTGCACGGATTATGTACCAGAGCCACCATCCTGCCCATAAACATCTTGCCCTAGTTAATCCTCATAACCTCTCAAGGAAAGTGTGATGTCCCCCAGTTTACAGATGGGGAAACAAGCTCAGAATGGATCCCCTCAAGGGTCAACAGTAAGTGGCAGACAGAATTTGAACGTAGGTCTGACCAGAAGAAAGTGCAAAGGATTGACATTTATTGAGCATCTACTGTGTTCTAAGGGCTTTGCACACACACAGTAACCTTCCACCCAAAGTGCTGTTCTCCCTGTTCTATAGATAAAAGAGCCAAAGCCCAGAGTGGGAGGAGACTGGCCTGAGGACACAGAAGTGACAGAGCTAAGGACACGACCCTTATCCTGACCAGCTTAACTCCAAGCCCAGGGTAAGTGAAGGGCACCTCACCTGACTCCCTGCCAGGCACTGGACCAGCCGCTTGATGTACATCCAATCCCCCGTCCACCCTGGGAAGCAGGCATTACTGATGGGATGGTGCAGATGGGATTACCCAGGATCGGGAAGTGAGTCACTAGCCCTCAGCTCCAGCAGAGCTTGGAGACGTGGGCAGTGGAAGGATCTAACATTTTCTGGTATCAAAAAGGCGGAGCACTTTCCACAAGCTACTTTAGTCCTCCAGCCTGCCTTGAGGGTAGGTGCTTTTGTCTGCATTGTGCATTGTGTAGGAAACTAAGACCTGGAGAAAAGCATCTTCCTCAAAGCCCTAGGTGCATCAGGGGTGGAGATAAACCCCAGATTTGGCTGACTTGGGGAGACAGTGAAACAGGTGGATAATTTACTGAACCCCTTCAGGCCACATAAACACAATAATTCATTTAATCTTTTAACCACACTTGGAGGTGGCTATTTTTATCTCCACTTGACAGAAGTTCAGGGAGGTGACATGACTTGCCTTTGGTCACAGAAAAAATTCAGTGTTCCATCTGACTGACTCCGCAGATGCCTTAAAAAGTCTAAGCAGTGGCTCTCAAACTTGACCATGCATCAGAGTCACCCTCCACGCTTGTTAAAACACAGACTGCTGAACTCCATCCTGAGTTTCTGATCAAGTCTAGAGCAAGCTGAGAATTTGCATCTTTGACAAATTCCCAGGTGGCATGATGCTGCCAGTGCAGGGGACACACTTAAAGAATTACTGGTCTATATTGATGCTCCCAACACCCTTGGGTGATCAGCATTACTATCCCCATTTTGCAGAGGAGGAAACTGAGGATCAGAGTGCTGGTGTGTCCAAGATCCCACAGTAGGCCCCTGACATACGAAAATCCAAGTTCGGGAAAGGGAGATACCCTATCTGAGCACCCCACCCCCGCCCCGGGGGTGCCAGGATATCCTGCCATTCCGTCACTTTCATAATCCCCCCAAGGCAGATCTCAGCATTTGTTCTGTGCACATGAAATGGGAGTGGGAAGGCTCAGCGATCTGGCCAAAGACCCTCGGTCGGGGAGCGAAAGGTAGTCAAACCCAAGCCTGACTCTTGAGAGCAGAGGGTACTTGACACGTACTGAGCGCCCACTGCACCCCACGGCTGCTGGAGGGGGCAGGGGGTTTAAACCCGGCCTCCTGGAAGGCAGGCCCGGGGAGCCCTCCCCCACTCCCCCCGTCCCCGTGTCCGCAGGCCATGGTGAGCGAGTCCCCGGGGCCCGGCGCCCGCGTGCCCTGGCGGCGGGGCGACGAGGCGCTGCGCGTGAACGTGGGCGGCGTGCGGCGGCGGCTGAGCGCACGCGCACTGGCGCGCTTCCCGGGCACGCGGCTGGGCCGCCTGCAGGCCGCGGCGTCCGAGGAGCAGGCGCGGCGCTTGTGCGACGACTATGACGCGGCGGCGCGCGAGTTCTACTTCGACCGGCACCCGGGCTTCTTCCTGGGCCTGCTGCACTTCTACCGCACCGGCCGCCTGCACGTGCTCGACGGGCTGTGCGTCTTCGCCTTCGGTCAGGAGGCCGACTACTGGGGCCTGGGCGAGAGCGCGCTGGCCGCCTGCTGCCGCGCGCGCTACCTGGAGCGGCGCGTGGCGCGGCCGCGCGACTGGGACGAGGACAGCGACACGCCGAGCAGCGTGGGCCCGTGCCCGGACGAGATCTCCGACGTGCAGCGCGAGCTGGCGCGCTACGGGGCTGCGCGCTGCGGCCGCCTGCGCCGCCGCCTGTGGCTCACCATGGAGAACCCCGGCTACTCGCTGCCCAGCAAGCTCTTCAGCTGCGTCTCCATCGGCGTGGTGCTGGCCTCCATCGCCGCCATGTGCATCCACAGCCTGCCCGAGTACCAGGCCCGCGAGGCGGCGGCCGCCGTGGCCGCCGTGGCCGCGGGCCGTGGCCCGGCCGGCGTGCGCGACGACCCGGTGCTGCGGCACCTCGAGTACTTCTGCATCGCCTGGTTCAGCTTCGAGGTGTCGTCGCGTCTCCTGCTGGCGCCCAGCACGCGCAACTTCTTCTGCCACCCTCTGAACCTCATTGACATCGTGTCGGTGCTGCCCTTCTATCTGACGCTGCTGGCCGGCATGGCGCTCGGCGACCGGGGCGGCGCGAGCGGCGAGGACCTCGGCGACCTGGGCAAGGTGGTGCAGGTGTTCCGCCTCATGCGCATCTTCCGCGTGCTCAAGCTGGCGCGCCACTCCACGGGGCTGCGCTCGCTGGGCGCCACGCTCAAGGTAGGGCCTCTGGGCCCGGAGAGCGGGGCCGGGGGGAGGCGAGGGTGACCAAAGGGCAGGTCAGCAGCTGAACTTAGAGGCACGCGGTGTCCAGGGGCACAGTGCACCCAGGGGACATTCTGTGTGCCGGGCACAGGGCTGGAGACCAGGGGTCCATTTCCCATGCCGTTTGCCCTTCCCAACAGCCCTGGGAGGGCTCTTTCCCCGGGGTTGAAAACTGAAAGCCAAGGCAGAGCTTTGCTTTTCTGGCTTTAGAAAAACAAAAACACAAGACAGAGCTCGTTTTTGGCCTCTCTGTCAAACATCAGATAATACATAGTGCAGAAATTTGCAAAGCAGGATGCTAACTGGCTTCTCCGCTGAGCCTTTCTTCTGGCATTATGGCGGGGCACAGATATCGGAGGTCACCCTTGACAGACCAAGTCCAGCGGCAGCCCCAGAACTAACACTTACTGAGTGCTAATTCTGTGCCAGTTTTACATCCATTATCGATTTTGTTCTCAGGACAACTTCCTCAGGAAGATGTGGTTATTTATTCCCTTCCCGTAGGTGAAGAACCTGAGGTTAGAAAGTTGGCTTTCTAAAGCCTGGTTGCAATTTACTGAGTACCCTTTTTGTGCCAGGCCCTGCCCTTGGGGGTGCATCACGCTCTGGCAAGCTTAACCTTGAAGGGGTGAATTTAGCCTGGTGTGGGGACAGAGGAAATGTGAGCAGCTTGGACAAAGGCCTGGAGAGCGAACAGGGTGAACACTGGGAGGGGACAAGGAAGGAGGGGTGCCGGTAGATGAGGTTGAAGAGGTGAGTGGGATGGGGTACTGAAGGGCCACGGACTCTTGGCCCAGGATTTTGAACTTTATCCCAAGGTAATAGGAGGGGTTCAGGCTGGGGCGAGAATTATTGTCACTACTTTGCAGATGTGGAAACTGAGGCTCCAGGAGGTGACAGGACTTGTCAGAGGTTCCTCAGTAAGTTGCAGAGCCCAGAGAAGAACCCAGCTGTGCATGACTCCAGCACCTCCTGCTCTTTCTCCTAAAGCTCTGGGCAGCCCTCCTAAGGATCCCTAGGAGACCCCCTCCCACCCATGGCTTTGTAAAGCCTTTTTCATGCCCTCGTGGCAAGGCAGTCAGGATGCTGGGTACAGGCAGGGTGACGTGAGGAGAATCTTGGGGCAGTGGGCAGGAACAAGGAATTCCATTAAGCACATCCCTGAACTCAGTATCTCTCCAGGGAAGATCCTTTCACCCCAGAACTCTGCCTTGCCTCCAGCCATGCAGGGAGCCAGGGCCTGGTGCCACCAGCTTTTTCTGCAAGGAGGGAGAAGAATGTTGATTGCAGCTGCCAGGGCCCAAGACTCCGGTGTAAGACTCCTGGTTACTCAAAGCAAGGCCCCTGACCAGCAGCAGCTTTCTCATTACCTGGAAGCTTGCTAGAAATGCAGCATTTCTGGCCCTACCCTAGACCCACCCACTCAGTTGAGTTCTGCCTTTTAAACAAGATCCCAACATGATTCCTCCACACATTACAGTTTGGGACTAGGAAACTACAGCTCTAGACGAGGGGTCTCAGCCTCAGCACTACTGACATTTGGGGGGAGATAATTTGTTGTGTGTGTGGAGGCGGGGGTGGCTGTCTCGTGCATTGTAGGATGTTTAGGAGCATCTCTGGCCTCTACCTAGTAGATGCTGGTAGACACCTGTCCCGGTTGTGACAACCAAAAGTGTTTAAAGATATTGCCATATCTTGGGGCGCCTGGGTGGCCCAGTTGGTTGAGCATCTGCCTTCGACTCAGGTCATGATCCTGGGGTCCTGGGATCAAGCCCCACGTTAGGCTCCCTGCTCCGTCTGCCCCTCCCCTGCACTTGTGCTCTCTTTCTCTCAAAGAAATAAATAAAATCTTAAAAAAAAAAAAAAAAAAAAGGCATTGCCATATGTCCCCTGGAGGGCAGATTGCCCTGTTTGAGAACCACTGCTTGGCTTCAGGGGCAGAGCATATATAAACCCACAGGCAGGTGCTTTCAGTGGGTGGTCTAGGGAACACACACCTTATCAGCTTTCTTGAGAGGCAGACTGTATTTTTGTACTTGTCAGAAAGGAGGTAGACCAGCCAGAAGTACATGAAACCAACCCTTTGCGTTTGTGGAATACAAACTGTGGTTCTCCATTGGTTCTGTGACTGTGGAAAAATCACAAGCTTGTTATTAACTGGCTGGGCCACCGGTTCCCCCTGTATTAGAAGAAACCACTGTGGCTTAGCAGGCATCCTGGACAACAGAAGTTAGGCCTGTGTTCACGCCCAGGGAGTTGGCTGCCTCTTGTGGTTGAAAGATCTTAGTTTGGAGTCGAGGGACCTGGGCCTTGGCACCAGCTCTACTTTGCTCTATGACTGTGGACCTGCCCCTTCTACTCTCTGTGCCTCAGTTTCCCCATCTGTTCGATACCAGGTCTGTGGGCCCACCCAGCTCTGACTTGGCTTCCCACATTCTCTTCCAGCACAGCTACCGTGAGGTGGGCATCTTACTGCTGTATCTGGCCGTGGGGGTGTCCGTGTTCTCCGGTGTGGCCTACACAGCTGAGAAGGAGGAGGACGTGGGCTTTGACACCATCCCCGCCTGTTGGTGGTGGGGCACGGTGAGCATGACCACCGTGGGCTACGGGGACGTGGTACCCGTGACGGTGGCCGGCAAGCTGGCAGCCTCAGGCTGTATCCTCGGGGGCATCCTGGTGGTGGCGCTCCCCATCACCATCATCTTCAACAAGTTTTCTCACTTCTACCGCCGCCAGAAGGCTCTGGAGGCCGCCGTGCGCAACTGCGACCCCCGGGAGTTTGAGGATTTGCTGAGCAGTGTCGACGGGGTGTCGGAGGTATCTCTGGAGACGTCCCGTGAGACCTCCCAGGAGGGGAGGTCTACAGACCTGGAGGCCCGGGCCCCCACTGGGCCTCCAGACTCTCAGGCTTACTAAAGCCAAGGCTCGGTGTGTCCCCCTTCCCACACCCCTAAGGTCAGCTGAAACAGCAGAGATCCCTGCCTGCTTACGGTGTTCACGGGGGCATGACTGCTCAGGATCACTCACCCAGGCCTGAGGAATGACACCCAGAGGCCAGGTCCGTTCCTCCCAAAGGCCCAGGCCAGGATAACATTGCCCTAGGTTCTGTGAGCCTAGTGAACACACCGGAGAACTTCATACATGGACCTCTAAGCTCCCCGTGAAGCAGGCATGCGCCAAATAGAAAGTAGAAAGGTCGCTAACGGTTCCTGAGCACCTCCTGCCTGTCAGCCCTGTCACATTCATGTTGGAGGATGAGAAAACTGAGGCTCAGAGAGGCGCGAGGACTTGCCCAAATGTCACCCAACTGGATGTGGTGGAGCCAAGTTTGGAATCCAGGCTCGCTGGTCTGCCAGGACTGGTGTTCCTTGCATGTCATCTTTATTCTGCCCTCGCAAAGTTTGCATGTGGTTTTAGGGGGTTCACGAATATCCAGAGTTGATCCGTTGGGTTCAAACTCACTGTCAGGGCTAGAGAAAGGACCAGACAGGGGATTCAGATGGAGGAGTGCTGCACCTCAGCTGTGGTTCTCTTCCAGGAGCTTCCAACAAGAGTCAGCTCTCAAAGATGAGGCTGGGAGGAAGGGAGAGAAGCTGCCTCCTCAGCTGGCGTGTAAGATTTGCCCAGCAATTGTCCTGCAGCTTCCTGCCAGGGCTGGCTTGAGATGCAGACTCTGAGGGGCCCTGGCCTGTCCCATCCTAGGATGTGATGTATGAAGAGGACACGCCCCTGCCCCATCTCCAGATCTTGGCCCATTTTCAGGTGGTCAGTCTGTGCCCCAGAGGGAAATGAAAGCCAAATGTAGCAGGAAGTCACTAATTTAAAGCCAGCTCAACTCTGAAGTGTTGGTGGCAAGGAACTGCTGTGCGTGGACACCTGTGACCTCTGGGTCCCCCCAGGCTGACTTTGGCAGTTCTCTTCTTCCCACCATGCAGACCTCCAGCCCTACCTTGAGTTACCATCCAGGCAGATGCTTGAGACCTCCGCCCCTTTCAGCCAGCTCCAGCCCCCTCATCCTTGCTGGGGGCATCTTATGCTCACCTGCTGAATCCTCTCTACTTGCTGAGAAATTTGGGAGGGAAGGGTTCCCATAGCCCTGTTCACATACGGTTCCTAGAACACCCATTACCGTCCTGTCATCTCCTGGCTATGCCTCTGTCTGGCCCACCATGCAGAGCTTCAACATGGAAGACATTATCTGGTTGAGCCCAGGCTTGTGAGGAGAAGGTATTTGTGAATACCTACTCATGGATCAGCTAATTCATACAGTATACTGCCTGCAGAGCACTGGGGAGGAAGAGGAAATGACCAGACAGAGGTCTTGCCCTTGAGAGAGTGTAGACAAGACTGAACAGAAGATTCTCCCAGTCCTTCATCCCCTTCCTCCTTACTTTATTCATTCAACAAATATCTTTTGGAAGACTCACAAGCTGGGGCTTCACGTGTGGCCTGCAGACACGTTTTATTTAGCTGAACAGTCTATATATATATTATATATATATATATATATATATATATATATATATATATTTTTTTTTTTTTTTAAGATTTTATTTTTAAGTCATCTCTACACCCAACGTGGGGCTTGAACTCACAACCCTGATATCAAGAGTCACGTGCTGTACCGACTGAGCCAGCCAGGTGCCCCTTAGTATATTTTTTTAATTCGAATGCCTTTGGGTGAGGCACGTTCTCTCCAGTTCCCCATAGTGTGCCCCCGAGACACACACACACACACACCCCGCCACTTCTCAGATACACTTGACACACCTGGCCTCTGATTCATTGACTGCTCGCTAGGTTCACAAGATATAATGGGGAACAAAATATATATCTCTAATTCGTGAAGCTTACAGACTAGGGAGGGAGATGGATTTAAATCCAGGGATCACAGAAATATGTAATAGCGAGCTGTACTAAGTACAGGGAGCTAGAAGCACGTCATGTAGCAGAGACCATTAACGGGGGTCGGAGAAGACTTTCTTGAGGATGACAATTTCAGCTGCTGTCACACGGATGAAGAGTTAATTAGGCAATAGGGGCTCCAGGAAGTGTTTCCAAGCAGAGGGCACAGTATGTGTAGGCCCCCGTGTGCGGATGAATGTGAGTCTCCAGATTGAGCAGAGGCCGGAGCTGAGCTGAGGGGCCGCTCGGGTCTCCCCGCCCACACACCGGCCCTCCCACACGCTCCCCTACAGCGTCCAGGCCCCGCTCGGCCCAGGTCGGGGCACAGAGACGGGAGGGCTGCCCGCACCACCCTCACCGAACTGCTGAACATACCAAGGAGCCAGATAGCTTCCGGACTTTCTGACCCCACAGACAAGTCCCTAAAGCTGGTGGAGGGAAAGCTCAGGGGAGAATCGTCTGGCCTGCATCCATCACCAGGTTATGTGTTGTCCTGGCAGAAAAGCGACAGTTCACTCCTAGTCCCCGGTGTGAAAGAAAACCGTGATGCAGATAAAGAGGCTGGGCCCAGGGACCTGTTTCTGGCTGTACCAGAGCTGGCCACCTGGCATGCTTTCTGGGTGAACGGGGAGGGTGGGGGATACGTGGAGCGACTCAGAATCTACTTTCTCTGCTTCCAGTGGCGGGTTTGGCACAGGCTGCAAGTGACAGGAATCCAGCTGGAACTAACTTGGTCAAAAAGAGTAATTCATTACAAGTAACTGGAGTGATGAACACTTACCATTAAGGTTCTTTGGTTATAAGCAATAGAAACTGACTATCTGGGACCCCTGGGTGGTGCAGCCAGTTGAATGTCCGACTCTTGGTTTCGGCTCAGGTCATGATCTCAGGGTTGTGAGATCGAGCCCCGTGTTGGGCTCCGAGCTCAGTGAGGAGTCTACTGAGGTTTCTCTCCCCCTCCCAGCACTTGCGCTCTCGCTTTCTCTAAGGTAAATAAATAAATCTTTTAAAAGATTTCCAAAAAGATTTAAGACTAACTTATCTTATGGAAAAAGAAAGAATTTACTGGAAGTTGTATTAGTTCCTGTGGCTGCCATAATGAAGTCCCACAAAACTGATGGCTTAAAACAATAGAAGTTTATTCTCTGACAGTTCTGGTGTCAGCAGGGCCACAATCCCTCCGGAGGTTCCAGGGGTGAATCTTCTTGTCTCTTCTAGCTTCTGGTGGCTCCGGTGTTCTTGGTTCTATGGCTGTGTCCCTCCATTCTCTGCCTTGGTCATGATGTCACCTGGTCCTCTGTGTGCACCAGTCTCTCACGGCTTCTCTCTCAGAAGGACCCAAGTGATGGCATGGAGGGCCCACCCAGCTGATCCAAGCTGATCTCATCTCAAGACCCTTAACGTAATCACATCTGCAAAAACACCCTTTTTCTGAATAAGGTAACACTTAAGGTTCCAGAGATTAGGACATGGACATAGCTTTGGGACCACCATTCAGCCTGCCACAAGGGGATCGGTGAAGTTCACCCAGTCGAAGGAAAAGCTGACTGAGCAGGCCTTAGGACGTGTAGGAATGAGGGGAGCTCTGAGGACCTCAGTGGTAGGACTCATGAACCTTCTGTTGAGGACACTTGCCAGCTAAATGCTCAGTCTTCCGTCTCCTTCCTCCCCTGTGTCATTCTGCTCACCATTCCAATCCCAGCCGAGAGGTTGATTTGCCTAGCTTGGGTCATGTACCTCTCCCTTGGTGGAGATGGGAGGGCAGAGCACCTGGATTAACATCTACAGCAGACCACATGGGATGGAAGAATGGTAGTTGCCCAAAGAAAAGGTCATGTGACATCACCAAACTAAAGGGGAAGCTTGTTAGGCAAACTAGGAGATGTCCACTGCATTCCCACCCTTGGCTGCCCAGCACACTTTACGCTCACTCCTTCCCAGACACACAGTTTAAAAAAATGTTTCTAACATCAGGAACCTATCATATATATAACCCAAAGCATACTCTGTGCTCTCCAGGCCCTATTAATGTGATTTTTTTTTAATTTTTTATTGTTATGTTAATCCCCATACATTACATCATTAGTTTTAGATGTAGTGTTCCATGATTCACTGTTTGTGCATAACACCCAGTGCTCCATGCAGAACATACCCATCACCCATCACCAGGCTAACCCATCTTCCCACCCCCCTCCCCTCTAGAACCCTCAGTTTGTTTTTCAGAGTCCATTGTCTCTCATGGTTCGTCTACCCCTCCGATTCCCCCCCCTTCATTCTTCCCTTCCTGCTACCTTCTTCTTCTTCTTTTTTTTTCTTAACATATATTGCATTATTTGTTTCAGAGGTACAGATCTGACCCTATTAATGTGATTTAATCAATGTAGTGGATCAGTCTGTTATCTTGTGGAATAGGACAATCAAAGTCTTTCTGGTGCAGATATGATGAGCTAAGGTATCCCTCAGTTGACTAGTAAAGGAAAACTGCTATCCCTTCCAACTAAGAGCAGAATGCTTCCAGTGATTTCTGTTTCTTGGAATAGAAAATGAAACCAATAGATGCATATGAGCTCCAAGGACTGTACCGAGGAACGTGTATCTAACCCCTCAGATGAAATTGGAATTGCCATTTGATTAAATTGTCCACTGCCATTTTCCAAGACCCATCTAATTTTGCACTGGCCAAACAGGGGAAACTAATGGTGTTTTGATGGAAGTCATCACCCTTCCGGGTCTTTGGTTGTCTCTGCAGCCTCCCCAAAGGCTTTGAGTTTTCTATTTCAGAACTGTTGTTCCGTTGGATCTGTTGGCCTTTTATATTATAATGGCCTCCGAGGGTCAGGGAGCCAATGTGGGGATCTTTTCCAACTATCACTCAGAAATTGGAGATCTAGCCCTCTGTGACATGGACAAAGGCCAAAATACTGTTTTTCACATGGTTGGTGGACCCATGGTGGTACTCTCAGGCCCAAGAAATTGGTATTAGCTTAAAGTTCTTCATCCAGTGCTCCCAA